AAGTTCAGACATAAATATCATAATATATCACTGATTATTTGAGTAGTACCTTAATGCCCAAAAAAGGTAACTTTTTTGATGGGGTCTCACTCTGTTGCCTAGGCTGGAGTGCAGTGGTACGATTTCAGCTCACTGCAACCTCCACCTCGGGAGCTCAAGCAATCAAAAAAGGTAACATTGTTTGAGCAATCAAAAAAGGTAACATTTTATCAAATATTTTATGGTGACTACCTCTTTTGTAAAACTAATCATTCAAAGGGAAATCCACAACTAACTTAAAACTTGTTTATCATTTGTCTCCACCCACTGGAATGTAAGCTCCTTGAAGGAAAGGATGATCTTGTTCATTTTGCTTACCAGTGTACTGTGGGGACTTGGTGCATACTAGAAGCTCAACAAATATTAAATACGTGAATGAGTGACTGGTCAACATATCAGTTGGCTTTGGCAGCCTTCTGCCTCCTCATAAGCTCCTTCTTTCCCTCTTGCTAAAAACCAGTAGAATGCCTACTTTTAAAAAATATGGAACCAACTTGTCTTTCTAATTCTTTCTCTCTGCCAAGTTTTCTCTACAAACCAGCATCATCCAATAGAAATATACTGTGAGCCACATATATAATTTTAAAAATAACTAGTGTTCATTTAAGAAGTAAACATAAACAAAATTAATTGTAATAAATCCTATTTAATCTAAGCCTATCCAAGATACTATCATTTGAACATGTAATTATACAAAAATTACGGATGAGACAGTGACATTATTTTTTGTACTCAGACTTCAAAATCCAGTGTGTGTTTTACACATACCTTGTTTTACATTAATCACATTTTAAGAGCTCAATAGTCCACATAGCCAGCAGCCACATATTGACAGCACCTAGATTATACAGGTGTGCCCAATGTAGTCGCAAGGGTGCCTCACAAGGAGACTGGAGGGTCAACATTAGTAGTTGGAGATAAGATGTTAGAAGGATATGAGAAGAATATAGGATATAACAGAAGTTGGAAGGATATGAGAAGAAACCCCGAGCCAAGGAACACCTGCAGCATCCAGAAGCTGAAAATGGCAATGAAACGATTATCCTCTGAAACCCCCAGAAGGAACCAGCCCTGTCGATATCCTGATTTTAGCACTTCTGACCTCCGGAGCTGTAAGGCAAGTGTGTGTTATTTTAAGTAACTAGGTTTGGGGCAATTTGTTACAATAGCAGTAGAAAACTAACACACAGTCTTCATTTGGGTGGAACAAGGTCGTTTTTGACATCTAGGCACATGTTAGAGTCTCAGTGTATCCCGAGTTACCGCTTCACCACATAAGAGGCAGTCAATATAAAGCTACTGAATGAATGTTGAATACAATAGAATAGAAACATTAAAATGATGTTTACAAAGCCATCATAATAAAACAGAAAAACGTTATTTAAAAAAACAATTTGCATTACAGTGCAATCACCACTGTATTAAACGGGCAAACATCAAAGTATGTATATAAAAATTCCAGAAAAAAATAAACTATTAATAGTCATCATTTCTGCATGCTGGAACTATAAATGACTTTTTTCCCCTTCCTTTCACATTTTTGCATTGTTTAAATTTTCTATAAAGAATGGTATCATTTTCATAAAAGAAGAAAGCACATCAATTTCATTTAAAAAGTAGACAGGAATATAATATAAAATACAAAAGGCAGTGAAAAGAATGTTATTATATTCAGTTCCTTCATTTATGCATCAACGATTCTAATGTAGCTAATAATTCAAAATCTTCAAAGTCATACATCTTTCGATCACAAACCGCATGGTCATCGCGGATCTGTCTGGATTTTGCAAACAGCAGTCAGCTTTACCAATACTAAAGTTATGATTATCACCTTCCAAAAATCAGCCGCTGACTGAGGACTGTGAGCTGCATGACCCCAGCAGTGTGTCAGAGAGGTAGTGATTTAAGCAGATGCTGATAATTGACTCCACAGGAAGGAAAAAAGTCAAGAGGAGAAAAGCTGGGAGATCCGCTGAATGAATCTGCTTCACTTACATGTGAAAAGAAGAAAGAGTTATTCTTAGAACTATGGCTCTTTGACCTTGGATAAGTCATTCCACTCCTCTGAGCCTCACTCAGTCTCTCCCTTTGTGTTAGGAAAGTATAGAACTAAATTATCTTTAAGATTCCATCTAGCTCTAATATTCCATAAATACATGTGTATGTATACACATGCAAACACGCTCCACGCATTTGGACATACAGGCTCTGAGACATAAGACAATGAGGCTAATACTCAAAACAAGATTCCACTGTTTTGCAATCACACGGGGGTTGCCTTGAACCAGCTTTAACTAGGTCCTTCATTCTGTGCAATTTGCCACTAATACCATCACCATCAGATATTTCACAGTGTCTTCTTTTTCACCATGTCAGAAAATAAACTGCACAGTTGGAAAAGGCTTAGACATGTGAGGGGTTACGGCAGGAGCAGCAGCCTGAGGTCTGCCTAGTCCCTGAGGCTTTCTAGCTTGTCACTCAGCAGCTCTTTGAAGAATGCATGCGTAACTCTGAGAAGGTTGTCTACTTTCTTCCAAGAAAATCAAGCACATTAACAGAACTTAATAACAGATTTCCAATTCAGTGCAATGCCTGATAATATCTCAGTTGCTGATATCAAATGAAGATGCCATTTCTGGAATAGGTCTCATATGAAATTTCACTGGAAGTCTGAAATGTCCTAGAATATTTATTATTAATGTTTTTCCAGGAAATATTGGCAGTATTCCTGTTTTCCAAAGGAAACGTAAGTGATTTAATCCAAATCTCAAGGTACTTACAAGTCTTGCAGGGTGGAATAAATCATGTGCATATTGAACTCTAATGCAAAACAGAAAGATTAATGCCACAGAAAGGTAGGGGTGTATCCCTGCAGACAGAGTTTCAGAAGAGCGAGAGATTATACCCAGCTGCTGAGGCAGGAAGATAGTCTAGAGAAGTTTATGGGGTACACGGTATCAAAGGTCTTTGGCTCCTGAATTCAAGGACTAATATGAGAAGGGATGATTTTTTTTTCTTTCTAGACAGGGTCTCACTCTGTCACCCAGGCTGGCACAGTCATGGTTCACTGCCGCCTTGACCTCCTGGGCTCAAGCAATCCTCCCATTTCAGCCTCCCAACTAGTTTGGACTACAGGCATGCACCACCATGCCCCATTCACTTTTTCTATTTTTTGTAGTAATGATGTTTCACCATGTTGCCCAGGCTGGTCTTGAATTTCTGGGCTCAAGCAATCTGTCCGCCTCAGCCTCCCAAAGTGCTGGGATTACAGACGTGAGTCACCATACCTGACCAGGAGGAAGTTTTGATGGAGGAACTAGAATGAGCAATATCTTTGTGGCATGGAGAATTTGGGGTAGGTACAGAGATGAACAAAGCGTGAAATTTGACAGCAATGCCAACTCCAGATTGGGGAGCCCAGGGAATAAAGGTGAAATGACACATAAGATTGAGAGTGCCAAGGCCTTGAGCACCCAAAGAAGGAAAAGGAGGATGGCACTTTATTCTATAGACAGTTGCCAGCCATCTAGGATGTTTAAGCAATTGTTTGATTTGCATTTATTCACCCCTCCTCATTATAAGGGGCACAGGTAATTTTAACTCTGTAGTTTAAAAGGCATTATAATTTCTCACTCAACAAGTGAACATAATTCCGAGCAATTTCCGTGTGTCATACAATGAATAATTCTAATTATGTGTTTGAAATTCTACAAGAGATTTTCTTTATTGCTTTGGTATTTCTAGTTCTATTTGGTGTTGGAAGAGTGGTTCCATTCGGATGTTAGAGTCAGAGGTTCACATGCAGCCGGACATGGTGGCTCACGCCTGTAATCCCAGCACTTTGGGAGGCCAAGGCTGGAGAATCACTTGTGATGAGGAGTTCAAGATCAGCCTGGCCAACATGGCAAAACCCTGTCTCTACTAAAAATATAAACATTGGCTGGGTGTGGCGGTGCTTGCCTGTAGTCTGAGTTGCTCAGGAGGCTGAGGCGTGAAAATCGCTTGAATCCAGAAGGCAGAGGTTGCAGTGAGCTGAGATCGCACCACTGCACTCTAGCCTCGGTGACAGAGTGAGACTCTGTTTCAAAAACAAAACAAAACAAAACAAAACAAAAAAAAGCTGTATATGCATGGGGTCCAGGAAACCCAACCTTCTGGAGGAGAGAGGTGACTCGGTCACACAGACACACAGACTGTATCTACTGATCTCCAGGCTTCCTGGTTTCAGCCTTTTAGACCCCAGGGCTTAGTCATGGCTCCTTAGGCATAGTCCCTTGTCTTCCCACCTGTTGACTCCTCGGCAGTGGCACTAAACCAATGTACATGAGGACATAACACTGATTCAGCATGGTGCTCTCACTGTGTGTCTGAGTGTGTGTATATGTGTGTCTGTGCATTCATATATAAATGTACAAATATGCACACGTTATCTAAAATGGCAACAGCACATACCATTATTTTATTTTTTATAGCTGTCATTTTATAGTGAAAGCAATATTTTTTTTCAAACAGTTTGTGAGCATTTTGAGAAGAGGCCCACCATATTCAATCATGCACACAGCCAACACTCAATTAGTGTTCATTGAGAAATTGACTTAACCTAAGTCTTTAGCCTCCCAGAAACATAGTATTTCCTCCTAGGACAAGGAGAACAGCTGGTTAACATATTTGGTATGAAAGGACCCAAAAGTATGGTTCCCATTTTCCTTTGGATCTCAGAAAGACAAGATAGTTTACGTCTTTAAATGCTCCAGAGATAAGGTAATTGGACCCATCATCTGAAAGCAATCTATCAATATGTACATGTGAGCATGAGTGCCTGCATACATGTGTGGGAAATCAGAAAGCTCGAAACTGAAAAATGGAGAAATCATGTGCTAAACATTAAATCCAGGTGGTGTTAGCAAATGGATACGGTTCATCAAATGGTGTGGTTCTCATGTGTTAAACTCAACACTTACCTCAATAAAAAAGATGCTGGCTGCTGAGGTTGGATGGTGATACATATAGACTGTCACAAGGATGGCTGTGGCTATAATGAGGACCAGGATGAGAATTCCAACGATGAGGCCAGCGTGGAGGCTTCCCCCTTTCTTCTCAGCTGCACTGTCATCTGTAGAAGCTGAAAGAACATCCCAGCTGTCAGGACCTTCACGAGTTTACCCTTAAGTTTGCATTTTCATCTGAGGAGATATTTGTGCTTTTAATAAAGTACAGCAGGGTTTTTACTTGCTGTACAACTTTTCTACAACACCAATTTTACAGGTGAGGTGCTCTTCATATGGGCAATAAAAAGTCTGTAGGATTCATGAGTAAAAATGCATTTTTCACTGTGTTTTATTTTTATTTTTTGAGACAGAGTTTTGCTTTTGTTGCCCAGGCTGGAGTGAAATGGCACGATCTTGTCTCACTGCATCCTCCACCTCCCATGTTCAAGTGATTCTCCTGCCTCAGCCTCCTGAGTAGCTGGGATTAAAGGCGTGAGTCACCACACCCACCTAATTTTGTATTTTTAGTGGAGATGGGGTTTCACCATGTTGGTCAGGCTGGTCTTGAACTCCTGACCTCAGGTGATCCACTCACCTCGGCCTCCCAAAGTGCTGAGATTACAGGCACGAGCCACGGCGCCTGGCCTGTGTTTTCAAATTTCTAGTTGGATATGCAAAATAGCTTTTGTCCTCAAAGTACTGTGGGAAACCTCAAACTCTAATTAACTACACACTAAATTTAAGTTTGATTTTTCTCATTAAACCGACAAAGTTATGTATGGAAAAACTGATTAATTTTGAAAGCTCCTCTCATTTTCCATAGGAAATTTTAAATTGAAGAGTGCCGGACAACTCTTGGTAAGCTACACAGCATTTTCAGAAGTCTGTATGTGAGCTTCAAGCATAATTTGTGAAAAATCTGTTTTAAACAGAAATGCTCTTTAAAAGTATAACACATGGATGCTAAGTGACCCTCAAATAGTTTTGATCACTATCTAAAGGGAACATCTCAGCAGAGGAAAATTTTCCACTACACCACAGACCAATATCATTTCCTGTAATTTTTACTGAGATACTTTCCACTGTAATACACATTTTCAGGGGTACCAAAGGGAGGAATTTAATTTCTAAAGTAATAACTATCCTAACCAAAGCCAACCAGCCACATACAACTAATCTCTAAAGTCTTCTTTTGTTCTAAAATTCTGTAATCATTGATGATTATTCAGGCATTTGGAGATCTTCCTCAATTTTGTGCAGCAGATAACGTATCTTAAGTGCACCATATGACTGGTATTCTGAATCATGAGATACAGAAGTTTCAGAACAGTGACCCTAAATTTCTTCCCCTCCCTCCCTCCCTTCCTCCCTCCCTCCCTTCCTTCCTTTTCCTTCCTCCATCCCTCCTTTTCTTTTCCTTCCTTCCTTCCTTCCTTCCTTCCTTCCTTCCTTCCTTCCTTCCTTCCTTCCTTCCTTC